CTCCACCGCCCCCGGCCCCTCCACCGCCCCCGGCCCCTCCACCGCCCCCGGCCCCTCCACCGCCGCCGCCGGCGGCCTCTCCACCTCCCGCGGCTTCTCCTCCGCCCGGCGCGACTCCTTCACCGCCGCAGTTTTGGCTGGTCAGAATGCAGCACACTTTCTTTTGGCTGCAGATGCCCGTGGCCGGCTGTATTTGCACCTCTCCAACTCTGCACGTGCTCCTGCAATTTCCCGTCCTGTTGGCACATTTCCTCACGTACCAGTTACCTGCACAAAGAGATGACACCAGTATTTCCACCTGAGGTGTCGATGATCAAACACAAACGATCGACCGGCAATTAGCTGCGCAAAGGGATTTATCTGAGATATTTGGTTTTTTATTTTTTAAAAGGTACAATGAGCAATAACTATCAGCATTGACAATCAGGCCGCTCATCAGTTTCCTTTTTTTTCTTTTCTGAATCCATAGAACTTGCTCTGAATACTAAATGTGATTTTATAAACCCATATAGGTCCAGAATTGTATATTCATGGTTGGGCCTTAGTGATTTCTTTCCTTCCTCCCCTCCCTCCCTCCCTCCCTCCTTCCCTTCCTTCCTTCCTTCTTTCTTTCTTCCCTCACTTCCTCTCTTCCTTCTCTCTCTTCCTTCCTCCCCTCTCTTTCTTCCTTTCCTTCTGTTAGTTTAATGCCCACCTTTGGTCCTCAGCTCCACCCAGACCTGAGCCCCTCCCATCCCTGGAGTTCCCACCATACATCTGGCTCCTCCCTCTCTCCGCCCAGATCTACCTGGGCTCCCATCTACCTCACTACCAATGCTCAGACTCTCCTGCTACCCTGATAGGCATAGGTGTGATGTGCTCCCTCTTGGGGAAAATAAGGCTCCTCTGATAAACCTTGTAATCATCGTTCTCCTGTGCCTGCCTGCCTGCCTCTGCGTGGTCCCCTGGGATGGATATGTGGGACCCTTCACCTTTCCTTTCTTTTTTTTCCTTTCCTTTCCTTCCTTGGGGTTTAACTTGCTAGGCTGGTGCTATACCACTGAGCTATGCGTCCAGCCCTGTTTTTTGCCAGTGGTTTTTGAGACAGGGTCTTGCTTCTTGATTGGCCTCAGACCTTGGCCATTAACTAATGGTGGCAATGTCTTCCCATTGTGGCTGAGATGACAGGCTCACACCACCGTATCTAGCATCCCTTTATGCGATAGAGTCTCAGGGACTTTTCTACCCAGTTTGCCCTGGAACTGTGATCCTCCCAATGTCAGCCTCTCATGTAACCTGCTCCAGTGTCCAGCTATGGCTTGAGAAAGGGTCTTGTGAACTTTTCTGCCTGGGTTGACATCAAAGCCAAAGCACAATCCTCTCATTCTCTGTTCTCTCACATTGTTAAGATTACAAGCATGATACAGGTACCTGTCTGGGCCCTTCATTATTGAAATCAGAACTCGGCATATAAACTTACTAGAAGACTTTTTCTCAGATTTTTTTTTTTTTGTTTGGTATTGGTCGTGAGCTTGAACTCTGGGCTTGGGCGCTATACCTGAGCTTTTCAGTGAGCACACTACCACTTGAGCCACAGTGCTACTTCCAGTTTTCTAGTGGTTTATTGGAAATAAGAGTCTCATGGACTTTTCAGCCCGGGCTTTGAACCATGCTCCTCAGATCTCAGCCTCCTGAGTAGCTAGGATGACAGGCGTGAGCATCCGGCCTTTTTTCTCAGAATTTTAACTTTGAAAAAATATTTTTATACATGAGCACAAAATCTACAAACAGTTTCCCAATGTGGATCTAAGACACATAGAAACATATAAAAAGAAGTAGGAACTTCTAAAAATTAAAATGTTCACATCAGGGGCTGGGAAGGTGGCTCAGTGGTAGAGCACTTGCCTTGCATGCATGAGGCCCTGGGTTCGATTCCTCAGCACCACATAAGCA